CTAATATCTATGACATATATCAAGGATTCTATATGAACTCTTTACTGAATTCGCTCTACAATTACTAGTTTGTTAGTATTTCAATCGTCTTCTCGGTGGGCTTTCATAGTTCAATGTCTCCAGTCTCTAAACTCTTCTGTTATCATAAGCTTGATTCAATATATTATACGTTTTCTATATGCTCAGTTATATTTATATATATTTTGTTATATATGTGTAGAGTTTTACTCATGAGTTCTAGGGTAAAAACTTTACTTCAGTTTCATTAGTATATATATAACCTTAACTTTGCAGCCTAATAAGATTTATTAGTCAATGTATTAAAATTTATAATCGATGTCCTAAACAGCTAAGATACTATAAGCGATACCAAATATTCTTAATAATACTTCTCAAATATTTCCATGCTCCTTGGAGATTATCTTCATAACAAAAGAGCAGCAAATCAGTATTCATTATATTGCCATTCCTACTCTGCCACCCTATCTCTCTTATCTGCTAACTGCTTTGGACTTCTACCTTTCTTATTATCTTCATTCATTCATTTCGTCTTTCTATCAAATCGTTCCTTAGCCCTCCCTCTGAGAAGAGTATTAAACACTCGACCTGCCATTTAAAGTTGACGTTTCTTGTTGTAATTGTTTGACTCCTGTCTGTGGTGCTGTGTCTGCATGTCTCTCTCCCCACTCTTTTTCTCTCCCACCGCCTCCACCCCTCACTATCTGCTGCATAGTCATGAGTTTTTTGTTGCCTCGTTCGTTGTACGTTCGAGTTTTTAAGCCAATTTATAAAAGCGAACGGTCAGCGGGCGGCAAAAATCAAGGATATATGCAGGAAACTAAATAGGGAGAGATAGATAGACAGAGAGATAGTGAGAGAGAGAGAGAGAGGTGTGTAGAGCAGGTCAGTGATGGTAGAGTCACCCACATTTACCATAAAGTGCTTAGCTGAACTCTTAAATATGCAATTAAAAAGATCAAGCGGGCATATTGAATGAGAGCTCAATGCGAGTTGGCCAAAAGAAAAGACAGAGCCATTTACGGCCAAGATGTTTGTTTTTTGGATGTTTGCCAGCGAAAAAAAAACTTAAGCTGCTCTTGACTTTTATTTCTTATTACTTAGGTATACAACTTAAGAAACATCTGCATATATTATATATATTTTATACGATTTTTTAAATTATATTAAATCTAAAATATAGATAAAAAAATTTGATTTAAATCTTCACTGTAGCCCAAAAACATTTTGTTGTATTAATAAATATTTATACACTTTTTTAAGAGTTGATAATATATTTCTCCGAAAAATTTTTTTTTTTAGTCAGGGTTTCCAGTTGCTCTTTCTTCCCTTGAGCTTAAGCTTTGTTTTGCTATATACATTTATATAATATCTGTTAGTCGTTCTCACACTTTCAATTGCTCACTTGGTTATTCTATTTGTTCATTTGCTTAGTTTTTCCCATTTTCCCTCACCCGAGTAACTTTTGCAGCAGCTGCTGCAGTTGTCCTTAAAGCGTTATGGCTCTTGTTAACACACACACACACACACACACACACACACACACACACACACACACACACACACACA